TCCATGGACACAGCCTCAAAGAATGTCCTGGCCTTTAGGAAGGCCACCCTTAGCTGGGAAGAAGCCTTCTCAAGAGGTTCTGATAATAACAGTGACAGCTGTCATCTTTCACTCAGAGCCAGGCTCTCTGAGCTGAGCACTTTGACCTCATTGCCTAGTGTGTTCTCCGAAACAGGCCTCTAAGGTAGCACTTACCCACAGGACTTTCTGCAGTGATAGAAACGGTCTATGTCTGCACTGTCCAATACAGTGGCCACTAGCCACACGTGACCATTGAGCATCTGAAATGTGGCTGGTGCAACTAAGAAGTAGATTTTATTTATTTTAATTAAATTTAAACAGCCATACCTGGCAGGGGGCTGTTGTATTGGCCAGCACTACTCCAAGGTGTGGCCTAGTATTATTGTCATCTTGGGGATGACGGAACAGGATCAGAGAGGTGAGGTGACTGAGCGGTAGAGGTGCGATTTGAATCCAGAGGGACCCCAGATTTGATGGCTGTGCTCTAAACACTGAGTATTTGCCATAATAAGTCCCCATCAAGTCAGGATAGCAGGACTCCAGTCCCAAAGTGGCCTCTGAGAAGCCAGCTGACTCCTCTCTCAGCCTCTGCTGGTCTCAAGGCCTTGCCACCTCTGACATCCCAGGCCTGTGTGTTTGGGGTGGGGGCATGGAGAGACTATGGGAAATAGTCTGCTATCTATAGCCTTCCAGAGGCAGAGGCATCAGCGTCCACCACCCAGGGCCCTCCTGCCACAGTTTTCACTGCTCACTGGTCTTCTCCGTGACCCACTGTTAGAGTCTTCTGAAAACAGACCACTCCTCCCAACACTTCTATGATGTAAGTACCATTATACCCATTTTACAGATGAAGAAACTGAGGTTCAGAGGCATGAAGTAACTTGTCCAAGATCTCACAGCATGGTGAGTGGTAGAGCCAGGAATTGAACTCAGATCTGTGTGGCTCCAGAGGCTGAGCTCTTAACTTCTGCCACATGTGGTCACTGGAGTTGAGCAGAGGCCCCAGGGACCTAGAATAAACCTAAAAGTTTATTTTGGTACTAAGGCACACTCCCTTACAGCAGGATCCTTCCACTCTATCTGAATCCAGCAGGAATTCCATTCTCCTGCCACAGGCCCACCCCTTAGGTCCATCGGGGCTCAAGACCTTCCTGGGCTGTGGCAGCCCATTAAGATTCTGGTGTATGGGAGCCTCTGGCTTGAAAATAAAGATGAGAAAAGACAACCGGTGGGGCTCTGTGGGCCAGACATTCTTACCCCCAAACATACCCCAGGTAGGGCTGAGAGAGACAGGGTCTTTGGTGACCAGAACAGTGGCCTGGGTTCCCAAAAGGGTCCCAGTGTCCTCTGGCTTCCATAGGCCAGTGTCTCTGTTGGAGCCAAGCTCCTGACAAAGGCTCAAAGGCCATGTCCAGCATCCTCAGTGAATGAGAATGTCTCCTTTATCCGCAGAGGAGGAAACTGCCCACACCCACAGTGAGGTGTGTGCTCTTGGGGTCAGCTCTGTGGAGTCCCCAGAGTCCCATGCGCAGCGACCACAAGATGTGCTGTGTGCACTTGCAGGGATGGTGTTAGAGGAATAAGATAAAGGCTGGAAGCCATCAGGCCTTTTAACCAGAAAGGATGCTCTCTCTGGGGACCTGGAGAAAGATCTGCGAAAGCCCAGGGCTGGACATTCTGGAAACATGACCTGTCCACACCATCACCCTGTCGCTCCAGGAGAACATCAGATCAACTCCAAGTGTCCCCTGCGGGGCCCAGCAGGCGGGGGAGCCTCCTTACACACTCACAGTAACACATACACACCCCACTGGCCCCACCACACACACACATCACAGGCTCACAGTCCCATGCACATCCACTCTCACTCACACTCACACTCATACGCTCACTTTACTCTCACACTGCACAATACACATGGAGACTGATGCAGGATGTTGTCCCTTGTTGTTTCCAAGAGCTTGGCGGAAGTAGGCTCTGCCCCCTCCTGCCCTTGGAGACACTGGAGACAAAGGGAGGCAGAGAACTGTCCGGGAGGGCTTTCCCACCGGGTGAGGCAGGGCAGGGAGGGGCCGCCTGCTCAGGCTGTCCTGGGCCACCACCAGGGAAATCTCCGGAGCTGCCCTTCTTCCCCTTGGCCTCCCCTGTCCCTGGTGCTCCCCCGAGGCTCGGGTCAAGGCAGACACCACTGCCATGTGTCACAGTCTGGGCAGGGCTGAGGGATTGCTGGGGAGGGAGAGGAAGAGCTGGGGAGGGGAAAAGCTGATTTCTAAGGGGAGTAAGCAGAGAATGCAACCGGAAAGGACTCCAACTCATTGCTCTTTCCTAAGGATGATCTTCTCACCACAAGGACAGAGGGTCTGGGTGTCAGGAGAGCAACATCCCTGTGTCTCTGCTGTAGTCAATGTGCCCATGCCCCTGATCATGAGGTAGGCAGAATACTTTCCAGCCTGATTAGCCACCCAGCCTCCCAGAGCCTCCCAAGAAGTTCCCATCAACAATGCTTTGTCACCTTTGTTACTGCTGGGTCTCCTGGCCTCCAGCCCCGGACCCCTGCCCCAGGCCACTCATCCACCCCAGGACTGGGCCTTCTTCCTGGCATGTCCAGTGGCCCAGGCCTCACTGTGCACAGGCCCAGCAGCCTTGGCTCTACAAACAGAACCCCTGTACAGTATCTTAAGTGGCCGCTGGATGCCCGCAGGGCTGGAACCCTAGGCTTGGACTCCCCCACCTCTGGCCTTGCACGTTTTCGGTTCCTCCCATTGTTCCTGCCTGCCTGTGATCTGGCTAAGAGCCGCCCTGGGGGTGGAGGGGAAGCTTCTGCTGAGCAGGCTCATGGTGGCCCTCAGATTCAGCCCTCCACTCCCAGAACCCCCTGTGGTCCTTGGTTTCCTGCATCTTTTTCATGCATTCTGGATACTAAGGCTTGTTTTTCTTTCTTTAAACTTATTAGTAGCAGTGTCTTGCACCCCAGAGCCTCCCTTCACCCCTCCCCCTACCACCCTCACTCCCTGGGCCTGGCTGTCTGGGCCTTGGGTTAATGAGACTCTGCATTTCTCAAGCTCTCTTTGATCCAGAGTTTAACGAGCTCCGCCTTCCCCAGCCAGGCGCCTGGGCCAGGAGAGTCAGCTCCTTCCCAAGGTGGGTGCTGCTAGGAAGCAGGAGGCTGCAGAGAGTTTGGATCTTTCTGCTTGTCATGGGTCTCAGACTGTCACTGGGATTCCAGAATAGTGTGGGAGTTGGCAATGGGTCCCTTCAGGATAAAGACGCTGGGCATATCCCGCTATGCTAGGCAATGCTGCTCATTCATTTATTCACCCATTCATTCAACCAACACACATCTAGTGAGTACTTACTTAAGAAGAGAGAGGCCTAGTGTGGAGGCCTGGGAGCAGAGGCCAAACTCAATGGAAACACAGCATTGGGGCAGTCAAGGAAAGTGAAGTGGGGTCTGCTGCACCCCTGGGAAAATGTCACATACTTTAGTCTCCTGGACTGTAATCTCCTGAAACCTGTGAGGAGAGCACCATATCTTTTGTTGTTTTTTTAAGTTTCCAGAGCCTGACACTCCTAAATCTAATACATAAGGTTTCCTTAATAAAGGATTAATGGCTGAATGAATGAATGCCTGAATAAATGAATTGAGGCTCTGAATCCATGGCCCATTGCCCTCTGGAAAGAGGCCTGCAGCTCTGGGAGGAAGCGGAAGGGAGGCACCAGAAAGCGCCTGCATTCCTGCCCCCCTTCTTTTTAATGATCGCAATTATAGAGCTGAGGAGGCAGGCTGGATGCTGAGACACTGCAGGCAAAAGTGACAGTTTTTAACCACTAGAGAGAGAAGAGGCAATGGTGGCCTTGGTGTTTATTGAGAAAGTGAGTAGATGGGTGAGTGGGAATGGCAGTGGCCTTGGGGTGGCTCTGATTCTCAAGCCTCTGCAAAGCCTTCCTGAGGAATGCCGTTCAGTTCTGGTCTCTCCCATCGTTCTGGAGGCCCCCAGAACAACTCTACAGCATCAGCATCTTGTGTGTGTGTGTGTCTGTGTGTGTATGTGATTATATCAACAATCACAAACTCAGTTCAGTTCCATTCAACCAAGATGTATCAAACTTTTATCAAGGGCGTGCTTGGAATAAATATATATAATTTGAACCCCTACTCATAGTCTAGTGAGGCTGGCAGATAAGAAACCGAAATGTTAAATACAGGTGGAATAACTAACACAGAAATCTGATCTAGCATGACAGGCTGTTGTGAAATGGAAAGCTCCATGAAGACAGAGACGTGTCACCGTAGTCCCTGTCCCAGGCACAGCGCCTCACACAGAAACAGAGCAGGGGCTTGGTGAATATTAGCTGACTTCAGGAACCAAAAACCCAGGGAGTAGAAAAATCAAGGTAAGAAACCAGAACCACTGGCGCCAAAATAAATGGAGTCAACTCAGGGAATTCTAAGATAATTCTAATTTGCCATTTCAGAGCGATCCAAGAAGATATGGATGGTATCTGTAAACCAAAAACATGTGGACTAGGCAGGCAAGGGAACAATGAAAGAAAAAAGGTTCTTGGAAATTAAAACTGTGATCGCTAAAATAAAATATTTAGTATAAGGACTACGAGAAAAAGATGAAACGATATTCCAGAATATAGGCCAGAGAGAGAGACAGAGACACAGAGAGAGAGACAGAGAATCAATGAACACTCAAGAGAAAAAATGAAGAGGAGGAATTATTAAAGAAATAAGAGAAGACAGTTTCCTAAATCTTAAGATTCAAGCCTTCCCGTTGAAAGGGCCCACCAAGTACCATTCAAGATGAGTGAGCCCACATCAGTAGACACATTGTCCCCAAATTACCTGAAGCCTTTACACCTGAAGGCAGATTTTGACCACAGACCTTCGCAACCCCACCTGCGGTATTTCTAATGGTGGGCAGGGCCCCGGGCTATTCCAGCCCAGGCTACCTGATAGGGCAGAGGCAGGCTTGTGGAGACGTTACCTGCCCCCTGGCTTCTCACTGTAAGGGCAATAAAAGCAAATAGGTTAGAGCCTACTTATAAATATATAAATAAATATACATTTATTCCTATGGCCATTCCCCCGGCAACTGTCCCCCACCTGAAGTAACTTCACACGACCTTTCTCTGAGACGCTTAAAAGCATGAAGTCTGGAGCCACCCTGTCTGGGTTTGAATCCTATCTCTGCCTTTTACTAGCTTGAGCAAGTTCCTTAACCTTCCTGTGCCTCAGTTTTCTCATCTATAAAATGGAAATGAAAATACAAGCTGCCTCAGAGGGCTGCTGTGAGGATTCAATCATCAATATGTCTAAAGTGTGTATAACAGCATCTTGCCTAAGAACAAACACTACAGGAGTGCCTGCTATTGTCCTTTAAAGACGTAAAGGTAACCAACAGAAGAATTGCAAAGTATCGGCAAAATACCCGAGTGTGGGGGTGGGGGGCAGGGAGGTAAAGGTGTCAGAGAGGAGCTAGGTTCCTAGTCTTTCAGGCCAGGGCATCGGTGGACACTGGGGACGGGAGACCACTACAGGCCAGTTTAAGCTCACCATTTGGAACTACGGAAGGGACCATCAGTAGAACTAAAACCTGAAACTGTTACAGACTGTTCCCTGTGGGGTGGGGGACCAGGAGGTTTATCATTTTAAATCCTGTTTGATTTTCCCCATATATATGATTTGTACACTTTTAAAGCAAGTAGTCTTAGTGTTAAACGAGTTGCTAGGGCCAGTGGTGTGCTGGAGCCACCGTGGGCCGAGGGCCATGGTGGAGGTATTTACGCCTCACAGTCAGCAAATGCTGGAAGCCAGAGCTTTTTCCTAGGAGACGGTTTATCAGCACACCCCTAGACCAGCCAGTTAGCTCTGTGACAACTTTTAACTCTTGGATATCTCCTGCTGAAAACTGAAGGCATTGTGAGGCCTTCCCGTGGTCTGTGTTCACCCCGAGACTTAAGGGAAGTATAATTTCACCCTTTCGCTACTCGGGGTGTTTCAGGTCTGCCTGAGCCCTGAGGATCCTGGCACTGCAGCCCAGCCAAGGTCTATCCTAGGGACAGTCCCCTCCTGCGTGGTAAAAGAGATGTTCAACCCGGTGCCAGTTATTCATTTTTCCAGAATACAAGTATTGTGTGCCTATTACATGCCAGGCATAGGCCAGGGAGCCCTCGTGCCAGGGCAAGCCCCTTAGGACTGCCTCCTGCCTCAGCAGAGCGAAGGCCCGAGGAGCCTGGCAGCAGCTGGAAAGCGTAAGTCCTTTCAGATGAGCGCTTCGGGGGCGCAGACCACCCTCCAGATCTTCAGCACCGTGCTTAACTCTGTGAGGTCTGCAGTCCTGAAGCCCCAGCCCCAGCCCCGGCGTGACACTTGCCAACTCTGGACACCGGGCAAATTCCCCATCCCTCGGAGCTGCCATCCCTTCAATTGTCACGTGGGGCAAATAGAGAATCAGTATCACAGGACCGTTCTGGGCATATGCTGAATGGAACGGCGCTTGACATGTGCTCGGTACACAGCACATGCCTAACACTTGGGGCCGTTCTTGGCCTTGACAGAAATAAAAGTGCTCTCGTTACCAATTTGTGTTTCTAACTAAATGTTTGTATTAGAGGTAGTTTGGACTGGGGAGAGGGGGGTGTTTGTTTTAGAGTGTCCCCCATCAGACTAGCATTTGGGGTCTGGGACAGTCACCTTCCTCCTGTAACTTCTAACAGGGCTCTGCTCCCGGGGCTTTTTCATTCAGGCACAGACAGAACAGCAGAGAGAACTCTGAGAGCTCAGTTGTTCCAACTCCATGCCGGAAAGGAGTTCAGTATTCCAGGGAAGGCCTGGGGCTCAGAAATGTCCTTTCTCTGAAATAGCTATTAAAAGAAAAAAGAGAGAGAGGAGAAATTTAGTTTGTATGTGCATTTTTTACTGTCTACTCCCACCCACCACATATACTGTCAAAAGAGGTTTTTAAAGCTATACGTTGTAAATTCCATGTGGCTAAGGGCTATGTCTGTTCCATGTGCCGCTTAATCCCCAGTGCCAAGCACCATGCCTGGCATGACTGCTGTTCAGCAAATGAATGCTAAAAACCTTGAATGAATATTGACCCAAGGGAAGGGGTTAGATGCAGAAGCTTGGGAAAGAAAAAAGAAATAGTGAATATTTGAAACTAGATTTCTCCAGGTGATCCTGGAAGAAAGGACTGGCTAAGAGCAGTGGCCTGAGGGTTGGCATTTGCTGACAGGTGGCCTGTGGTCCTAAGTCTAGACCTGCCGGGTCTATCGTGGCTGCTGAGAGCCCAAGGTTTTGTGACTCCTACTGGACCCCTCCTCCTTCCCACAAATGCTGTTTCTGTCTTTGTTCCTGCCAGTTCCTGGACCTAGGGTTGCCACATTCAACAAATCAAAATTCAGGATGTCCAGTTAATTTAAATTCAGATAAATAAGAAACATCTATCTAGTGTAAGCTTGTCTCAGCAATACTGGGGACATGCACTAAAATTTTCTTACTGTTTATCTGAAGTTTCATTTTAACTGAATGTTCTGTATTTTATCTGGCAAAGCTGCCAGGGCCCAGAGTTCCCTCTCCAGGTTGTTCACGTGGGGCACTTATCCTTCAAGGCCCGTCCAGATGCCACTTCTCAGAAGCTTCTCTGATGTCCCCTCCACCCCAGGCAGATTTCATCGTTCTAGCCATGTGGTCCCCTCTCAAACCCGACCATCTCGGACAGGTTGGCCATCTCCCTGCTCTGTCCCCTGCTGCATCCCCTGCAGGTAGGTCAAAATGTCATCTAACACCCCTGGCACCAGGGGGGCCCAGAACTTAGAAGGATGAGTGCTGAGAAGAGAGATGGGGAAAGTCAGAAACACAAACAGAGGATACAGAAAAGGGAACAAGTCCCCGACTGTGTAGGCCTGTTATGGCCCTCACTGGCTACCACACCAAAACTCTGGGTCCTTACCTGTTTCTTTGTAGATTCTCCAAATGGGACAAAAAAGAAGATGGTTGACTGGAAACCAGCAGCAACTTTCTTTCCTCCAACCTCAGGCCATTACTCAAAGTTCTCCCTATAGGCTTTCTCTACCCTACGGATGATCTGAATCCTCTGTGTGACTTGATTGACGAGAAATACACCCAGAAAGGAGGGCCCAGGACATAGATCTCAAATGATTTTGTCATAAGAGAATGTGGGCCAATAGTGGAGCACCTGCAGGGAGGGGCAGCAGACTGTCCCCATCTTCACATCTCAGAACCTTGGTAGGAGTCATGTGCCTCTGAACCGCCTGCGGCTGCCCTTCTCACCGGGTCTCACCGGGTCTCACGGGCCTTTCCTGGGCTTCGGGGATTCCTGGGATGTGTTTCTACAGAAAGACAGGGCTGCAGGCTCCCTCCCCACCCCGCCTCTCTCATGACTCATCACCTCCAGAATGAGAACAAGGCGGCTGGTATCTCCACTGTGGGGCCCCTGGGTGCGGAGGCTGCCACCTTATCTCCACAGCCCTGGTGGGAAGCAGCCTTCCTGGCCAGCAGCCTTCTCAGCAGCAAGGCCACAGGGCCCTCTCAGTGCCTGGGCAGCTTCCCTGAGGTTGTCTTCCTCAGCCCCCGGGAAGATGTAGGTGCTGGAGGGCGTCCTGGGAAAGGAGGCCCAGTCAGAGAACTGACTGCAAGGTCCCCTGCACCCCCAGGTCCCTGGAACTTATCCACCCTGTGCTGCACTGACTCTGGCCTGTGGCTGTGGCTCTGCAAATGCCCCACTCAGCCTGAGAATCCAGAGCGGAGCAGAGCCCTTCAGACCAGTGAGCGCAGCTCTGGGGCTCCAACCACAGGGCTTAGTGAGTTGGGACCCAGTAGAGGATGCAGCTAAATGGGGGACCTTCCAGAGGCACTGGGGAGTCAGGAGGGAGACAGATGATCTCACTGGCCTAGAGCCAGAGAAGTGCCATAAATGTCCAGAGGGCCTGCTGGGCTGGATCAGAGAGAAGAGAGAGTGGAGGGAGGTGAGATCGGATGACTCCATGACGTAATTACACACCGAATTTGCCCAGCGGTGCCAAGGGTGTGAGGTTTTGCTTTGAGAGCTGCTATAATTATACCTCAAATGGAAATAATAATAATAATAACAATAATAATTCTCTTCTACATGTTGCTACTAGAGCAGGTCTGTTGAAAGGGTGGGAGGAGAGAAAGCAGCACCCTTTTTTCCACACCAGCCTGTCACACTCCCAGATAGTAATTCCCGGGCCCAGTCAGGCCCAACATTTTTCATATTGCCTCCCCCATTCCAACAGAAGAGACTCCTGACTGAGCCAGCAACACTCTGGCCTGAGCGTTCACCATCAGGAACAATAGGAGAGGAGGTTGGGCTCTCTGGCCCCATCAGCAAAGGGAACTTGAACCTTGAGCTCTCCACACTCTTTCCTGGTCTTTCTTGCGACCCAGGGCTGGCTGGGCTCATGGCTACTGTCTGAGGCTCCAAATCAGAGGAGTGGTAACTATGGCACATGTGCCTGGAGACCTCAGCCTCCCCTGTGACAGCCTAGTGCTCCCTAACCCCTCACTGTCGGCAGCTGCCAAGAAGAGAAGGAGAGGAGGCTAAGAAGAGGAGACAGAGAGAAGGCAGTCAGACCCTTGTCCTAACACATTAGTGACCGTCCTTACTCCTGGGCTGGGATGGGGGATGACTCTATTTTGTTCCATTGATCTATATGTCTGTTTTTTATGCCAGTACCATGCTGTTTTGATTACTATAGCTTTGTAGTATTGTTTGATATCAGGTATTGTGATACCTCCAACTTTGTTCTTCTTTTTCAAGATCACTGTCGCTATTCAGGATTATTTGTGTTTTCATACACATTTTTGGATTATTTTTTCTAGTTCTGTGAGAAATGCCTTTGGTATTTTGATAAGAATTGCACTGAATCTATAGATTGCTTTTGGTAGTATGGACATTTTAATGATGTTAATTCTTATCCATGAGCATGGTATATGCTTCCATTTATCTATATCTTCTTTCCTGTATCTTCAATGTCTTAAAATTTTCCGAGTATAGGTCTTTTACCTTCTTGGTTAAATTTATTCCTAGGTATTTTATTTTCTTTTTTGATGCAGTTGTAAATGTGATTGTTTTCTTAGTTTCTCTTCCTGGTAGTTCATTATCGGTATATAAAAATGCAACCAGTTTCTGAATAATTATTTTGTATCCTGCTGCTTTACTGAATTCATTTATTAGTTCTAGTAGTATTTAGGTGGAATCTTTAAGGTTCTTTATGTATAGTATTATGTCATCTGCAAATAACGACAGTTTTAGTTCTTCCTTTCCGATTTGAATACCTTTTATTTCTTCTTCTTGCCTGATCGCTGTGGCTAAGACTTCCAGTACTATGTTGAATAAGGGTGGTGATAGTGGGCATCACTGTCTTGTGCCTGATGTTAAGGGAAACACTTTCAGTTTTTCCTGATTGAGTATGATATTAACTGTGGGTTTGTCATATATGGCCTTTATTATGTTGAGGTATGTTCCCTTTATTCCCACTTTGCTGAGAGTTTTTATCACAAATGCAGCCCCCATATACTTTTGAGGGGTGGATGTAGGAACACTATTCATGGTCACAATTCTGCCACCCCCAGCCAGTCCTAAGGGCTGCAGAGCCTGTGGAATGGGGCAGGTCTCACCAGACCGGTGTGGGAAGGCTGCAAGTATTGATGCATTGAGCGATGAAGGTTGGAGAAGTTATTCCAGGCTGCCTCGGGATCAAAGCTGCCAGAGCCCTTCTTCCCACCTGGCTGCTGGTCAGTAGAGGGTAGAGTAGGCTGCTTAACACATCTTCTTGTTCCTCCCCCCATGGAATTCCCCTCAGCAAGAGCTGAACCAGATGTCTTCACATGCCTTCTGGCTCAGGGTCCATGCCCTCAACCCTGCCTGGGAGGCAAGAAGCCCAAGTGGAGGGCCTGAAAGCCAGGGGAAGGGGATGGATGGGTAAAGGGGGTGACCACAGCAGGCTGGCACGATGCAGCCCCTGCCAGAATGAGCTGGGGGCTGCTGGTCTTACCCATGGCTCCCATGGTTAAATACCCACATGTTGGCACAGGGTGCAGCCTGGTGCCAGCTAGAGAGGGAGACAGAGTGTAGCAGATTTCCAGGATGTCCGTCCCGAAAATGAGCCTCCTTCTTGCTCCCCAAAGATCCTGAAGCTGGGGAACCAATGGGGCATGAAGCAAGCAGAGGCCTCAGCATATGATGAGAAGGTCTGGGAGGAAACCATTGTCCCTCCCATCCCCCATCCCATGAAGACGGCTGTCCTGGGCGCTTAGGGGAAGTCAAGACAAGTAAATAGAGCTTTAAGAATTTTTGTCAAAACATCTACAGGAGTGTCAGGAAAGAGGCAAATGGAGCTTCATGGACGGGCTTCTGGGCTCATCTCCCCTTCATAAACCTGCTCAAGATCAGTCACCAAGCTTCAGAGAACCTCCTCAGACCCTGAAGTACATGGCCACCTCAGCCATGGTGATCTCCAAAGGCATTCGTGGTGTAACACGAAGGCCCTGGCTTGGTGTCCAAAGACCTGAGTTTGAATTAATGATGTAATGACTTACCTGCTGTGTCCCCTTGGAAAAGTTAGCTTTGCCCACTACTGTCAAGAACTTCTGTTGTTAGGGTTGCCAGAAACTTCCATGGGGCCCAGGGCAGTGGTCAGGTCTCACCCTCATCTTCCTCATCAGCAGCGTTTGACTCGGCCTGTTTTCTCTCTCTTCTCAGAAAGATTTTCTTTCCTTGGCTTCCAGAACAACTGGTCTCCTGGGACTCCTCCTCCTCACCAAAGGCCTCCCTCACTTTCCTTGGCTGGTTTCTCTGCATCTTGCCAACGTCTGGCTGATGGACCCACACCCACTGCTTAGCACAATCACACAGTGTCAGATATTTAAACACCATCTCTACACTGATAACCTGCAGGCCTCCTGCCCCGGCTCTCCCTGAACTCCTCACCGGCTTGACTTCACCAACTGGACACCCAGTAGGCATCTCAAAATAGCACGTCCAAGGAAGAGGAGACATCAGAACCCTCTCCCCAGCTGGTGGGAGTGGTGCCCCTGTGGAAATCAGTGTGGCAGCTCCTCAAACAGTCAGACATAGACTTCCACGTGACCCAGCAAGTCCGCTCCTAGGTACACACCCAAGAGAAATGAAAACTTGTATCTACAAAAACTTGTACATGTAGGTATCACCAAAGATATAATATCAAAATTCATGAATTATTTACTTTTTTAAATCAGAGTAAAATCAAGGTGATGCGTGAAATTGCACCACCTCTCTTGCTTTTGATATGCCTGGGAGACTAGGCCTTGTTTCTCACTCCTGGGCTGGGAATGGCTCGTGGTCCTGTGTTTGCTGGGGGGGGTGAGATCTACTGAATTTTCTCTAAATTTTGCTTCTACCTGGATGTACTCTGCCTCCCACATTAGATCAGAATTTGCTCTAGGAATCTTCTCAAAGACTGTGAGCCCTGAGGGAAGTGGCTAGGCATCTCCCATCAGATTGGGAGGTTCTCTTGGGTAAAAAATCGTGTCCCTGCATCATGCCAGGAGCCTGCTGAGGGCAGAGCTAGAAGCCATCTTCCTCGGTGTTCGCCGCGGCCTCTCCCTCCAGTGTTCCCCCCACAGGGCCACCCCTTCCAGGAGTTAACAGAGCCACCTCTTCCAGGAGTTAACACTGGACAGGAGAACTAATGGCCACAAGAAGATGCTGCCAATGGAGTCTTGTGCCAATAGAGGTCTTGGCAGCCTAGGTGCTCCTGGGCCATGCTTCGTGTGGTGGGGATTGTGGGTTTTGCCATCCCAAGCTGAGTCTTCTGTGGTTTTCCCCAAGAAACCTCAGGCTCTGTTACTGGCTTGAGATATCCCACTCCTGCTGCCTGGTCTTGGGTCAGAGGGGGCCCCCTGAAACCTTTTTATTTTATTCCCTCCACATGGAACTACATGTCCTGGTCTCCGAGGAAGACTGAGGGCTGGCTGCCGTCTGGGAGCTGGAATCCTAGGAGCAGGCCTGTCTTTGCAGCTGGGCAGG